CCAACCCGATCCAACCCGACCCAACCCGATCCAACCCGACCCAACCCAACCGAACCCGATCCAATCCAACCCGACCCAACCCAACCCAACCCAACCGAACCCAACCTAATCCAACCCAACCCACCCAACCCCTTAAAAGCATTCGATTAAATTTCCATGAAATTTCTCCTATAGTCACTTTGTTTGAATTTCCGGGAAAGCGGAATTTACCATCGCATGATATAACAGCTTCGTTCGGCATATAATTCAATGCTTCTTGTAATAAAAATGTAAAATTAAAGAAAAAAAGTAGTGTTAAAAATGAAAAATACTGAGCGAATAGCAACAAAGAAGACGAAAAATAAGGGCGCCTGTCAGAAAATTAAAAACTTCGTGATTTTATAATGTTTATATTGCATATTAGTATAATGAAGCTGAAGAATATACGTGAGTTCCACATTTCGGCCCCAAAGGGGCTGCGCTAACAAGCTTTTTGTATTATTCGATGGTGCTACCTGTCTGATATGTGTTATTGGATACAGCCAAAGTGAATAGAAATCACCAATAAAAGTTGCTTGTTCTCTTCTATTTGATCTACTGTCTAATGAAAAGATTGCGCTTAGTTTTTAGTGGTTATTTCTAAATGCGCTGTATGAACATTTTTTGTAAAATGAAGTAAATAAAGAGATTCATATAAAAGTGAAGTTAGCGTCGGATTCGAGTTTTTCTGAGGACGATTCGCCCAGACGTCTGTGGCAACCGTGAGATATTGTGAGTCAGATACAGCTCGATGAGCTCTATCAAATAGCATATTTAGATTTTAAGAAGACTTACGACAGAAAAAAGTAAAAGCCAAACATATTGTTCTTCATCACAGCGCGAAACAAAACAATAGTTTTTCTTGAAATTATTCGATTCAGAGGACCTGCCACTTTTGAAATCTACATACATCGACGGAGCTCGACTTGCTCTATCAAATGATGTCTATGACATTATCAGGAGTGAGGTGGCTGTCGTTGTGTCGTTAAGGAACAAAACAACACCCACACCCATGAAAAAAATGCTCGAAAGACAATATTTGTCGACAACGACTACAACAACTGAATGCGCTCTTGTCACAATTACTATTTGAGCAACTGTCTGTATCAAAAGAAAAACAAACTTCTATAAGGTTCGAAAAATTCGGATATTGTTTCGGAATGTAGCCATAAGTTGACCACGTATATGAAATCATTGGTTTGAATAAAGCAAATCTGCTAAAAACCTTGATGGGTCTTAACTGAACGCAAAATTTCTTTGTTCAAAACTCTTGTCTTCCTCAATCGTTTCGGTGGTTTTCAGATTTAATGCATTTGTATTCAATTTTTCTAATTGTCATTTGCTAAATTTCTTGATTAGAGTGATAAATAAACTGATCAAATCAATATTATTTTTTCAAGAAATAAAAGCGTTGTATAAAATTGTTAGAAGATACATGAAATAACATATCTTTGTTTGATCGACCGAGACATGAATATAGTCATACAGATTTCATAAACCTATTTAGAAACTTTACTTGCTACTACCGATATAATTTATCCAGCGATCCAAATGTCCTAAGACATACGCAAAAGATGACATGATTAACTTTTTGCGACATCGCTCATCTTCGATCACTTTCACTGAATTTCGTTGTTATTCACCTTACCTTAATTAGTGTCAATTCTATCGTTTATTTTGAGAAAAATTTGGATAAAGTTTCATCGAATAATAAACTTATTTCTCTCATGTGTGGCTTCCATTGACTTTAGATAAAGTCAAACTAACTATGGAAAATAACTTTCTTTGTTTATATTTTCGAATGTATTTTAAAAATCATTTTCTTCACTCAAATCATTAAACCAATAAAAACAATAATACGACAATTAGGCAAAATGTGCTATATACGAATTATATGAACGCTGAATCACTGAATTAACAATCTTTTGAGCATTAAGTTGAAGAAAAGTATCATCAGACTTCATCATCATATATTCGGCAACAATATTATCACGCGTTGAACCTATAGTACGTAAACAATAATAAATAGGACCAAAAATAATACATAGGCAGGAAATACAACACAAGACACGAATCACAGTCGAATTAGCAAAACGGCTAAATTTTGAAGATGAACGAGCAGTAATCTGATAATTGACTCTATTATAAGTCTAGAAAATAAATGACAAATAAGTTTCATTACGATTTAACTATTACTTTTCTACTTACGACATTAATGCTATTTTGATAACCAGTTGAACGAACTAATACAATAAGTTTTTTCTGCAATTCTTCTAAATTCCAGCCATGATATTGCTTTTGCAATACTATTTCTTTGATTTTCTTGTTGGAAAGTGTATATTGTTCAAGAGCATCTCGTAATGTAACGGTTTCACCAGCTCTTATCGCCTTTGCCGATGGAATAACAGCAACACGTCTCCATTGTTCAGAAATGTAAGGCGATAGATCAATGGAAAAATTAAATTCAGTCACATCACGAGACTTCATTACACTACGAGTTTGCCAATTACCATCAGAGTCCTGATAACTTTCCGTTTCCGTATAAGTCTACCAACACAAAAGATACATATAGCAAACATTATGATCACATGAATGCAGCAAAATAAATTACACCAAATTTCGATATATTTCTCTCCTTCTTCTTAATTCTATCTTCTTATTCTTGCTTTGAGAATTTTCAGCTGGAATCACCGTATGTCATGTTTTATGAGTACTCAGTAGGAGAAAAATATCAAGATTTGGTGAAATATTTATTCTGACGCATTTGTTGAAAGTAGAAATACTTCTGTATAATAACCATGAATGTTGACTTTTAATTGTGGTTTTTCATTGAGATATGTCATGAAGTACAGTCATAATTGATCGGGATTCTTGTCAACAAGTTGATCGAATGAAATAACACCTTTTCCATTACGTTTTATTTCTGCTTTCGATGCTTCTGTGTATGGAGTAACATCATTGTGGTATAAAATAGCTCCATTAGGCACAATTGATATATCAAAATAGTTTGGTGGGAGATCATCAATATCAGGTGCAGATGGACTAGCAAAACTAGTATAAGTTTTCAGTTCTAGGTCGTTGTTCGGCAGTATCACAGATTTATCCGAGGTCGAAGTGGAATCTTTGGAAGCTATCCCTATTAGTGCACTTGGTGTTGAATAGTCTTCCGTAGTAAAATTATTTGAAGCAGTGTTGTTGTTTGCCATATACGCGTCTTATTTCTTTCCATTCTTCTGGAGTAAAAGCCATATATATAGATATGATATGGTAATAATGCTAAAATTTACACAAACATCTATGACACATGCTTGATTCACGTCCAAAGTGCTTTTTGTAGTATGACAAAAGATAAATATGATATAGTCACCCTTAAATGACACAACAAAACACGTGTAGATGAGACACATATCTTTAAAATGCAAAAAAATTGACATCATATCTCATGACAGCTTCTTGAGCTCATTCTACAAACACCGAACTTATTCGAATCAATGATTCAAATTAGTCGGATCTGTATACATCAGCTATATATATCATTTTTCATCATCGAAGTGTTTGTGTCTTTTACAGATATCTTGTTTTTTTTTGTTACAATAAGTGCAACATCTAACAAACGGGTGATGTATGTCTTGAGGGTGAGGGTGTGAGGGTAGGTGAGGAGTGTGAGGGTAAATGAGGGGTGTGAGGTTGAGTTTGTGGGGATTCAGAGTTCACATGAATATCAAAGTGCTGTTCAAGAGATCTTCATCAGGTGTTGAAGCTTCTCTCGTGCCGCGGATGAGACATTCTTCTACAAAATTTAAACACTAGAACGAACAAATGCGATGCTCATGAATGAAACTGATTGTCAATCACCATGACCTGATGTTGGTTCGACTCTGGCAGACTTGTGTCTCACGAATCAGAGGTTCAATCCTCGACAACGGACAACATTTCAATGGTTCGGAAGATCACGGTTGTTCATGTGCTGCTCGAGTGTTCTCTCAAAGTGTGGAGTGCGACGCTGTCGTGCAGTCATTTTTTGTGCCTGGGCTGCTATTTCGCTATCGACATTGCCGCTCTGTCGAAATCGGTGATTCGATTTGAAAATATCTTAGTTGGTCTCTCCGAGAATCGGCCCGTGTCAGTGGCAAGATATAATTTAGCAAAGGAATTAGTAACAAGGTGCACTGTTTCTAAATTTAATATAGGATTCAGAGTCTGAATCGAACCGACTTCTACTGGTTCGGTTCGGTTCAGCTTCATTTTTCAAAAAGCCGTTCGAGTTCGGTTCAGTTCGTCTTGTTTTTCTAAATCTCAGTTCGACTCGGTTCGGTTCATATTTAATTTTTCAAGCGTTAGTTTGGGTTCGGTTCGGTTCGGGTGTATTCTCAAAAATCGGTCCGGGTTCGACTTAACTCAGATATCGTCTACTCACAACAAAAAAAATTTCGAACTTGTACTGTTTTTGTGCATCGCCGCTGTACCTAACAATCGGTGGCCTAATGTATATTTAACAATTCATCTTGAGCTGGCAAAAGCAGTTCCGTAGCATTTCCTTCCAGCATGTAGCTGAAACACGTTTACGTTTCTCTGGAATAACTGTATAATTCTTATTATCATTATTAATAATAATTTGATGAAATCCGAAGTTTAATTTGAAGATGAATTCGAGATAGACTGTGACGATGGAATTTGGAATGACGAACGAAAAATTGAAGAATTAGTCGCCACCATTAGAATAATACTTAGGGTTGGCCAAAAGTTCTAAGCCCGGTGTTTAAAGGACCTTGTCGAATAAGGTAACCTATTCAGAAATAAAAATCAAATATACCATGTTGTCGAGCTTTTTGAGGCGCGTCGAATGGCATATAGTAGATCCTGTTTTTATAAGACTTTGAAGGAACTAGAGTCAATTTACTGATAGACGAGTACAAATACACCCACATCCTCATTCAAGCATGATAGGTACTGAACATTGTGGTCCTTGGTATTAGTCGAAATTATTTGCAAAATATTTTTTCTCACATACAATTGTGTAGAATTTTTGACGCATTACAATTTCATATATGTAGCATTTCCAGTCATCGTATCAGTGTGAGTATGGGTGGGCGTGGATGTGAATATGGAGTCCTCTATCAGTAAATTGATTCTAGTATCTTCAAAGTCTTATGAAAACAAGATTTACTCTATACCATTCGACGCGCCTCAAAAAGCTCTACAACATAGTATATTTGGTTTTTCATTTATGAATAGGTTACCTTATCCAACAAGATCCTTTAAACTCCGGGCTTAGAACTTTTGGTCAGCCATAAGTAACTAGAATTGAATAGCTTATAGGAAGGTGAATATGAAATAACTTCAAGATAGGAATGAGAACATAATTATTGGATTTAATGGGCAAATATTTGAAAATATATAACACTGATTTCACAGCAGCTAAGAACGTTTTTTTTATTAGATTAAAAAATAACGATTACAATAAGAACATAATTAAAAGTAACTCGAGCTTTCAATGAGTTTAGTCATCATTTTCAACAGAATGTGTTAAACATTTACAGATAGAATCAAAGGAAAGAAAAGTAAATGTACCTATATATACACTATCAGTTTGTACTTAAATATCTGATGAATCATATAATCTGGAAGAATCTACGATATTCTGTTTAAATTTGAACTTGACTTTCTTTTTATTTATTACAACCTTCAGGAAAGATAATTAATGGAGTGGAACGGATGGTTGCATTAAGATTGAGTTTCAAAGCCATAATAGCTAATGATTCTTTAACTTTTAATCTTTGAATAGAACTATCTTTAAACAGGATATTCCAATCAATATAATTAATTTGATGATTAAAATCTACTGCATGTCTTGCTAAAGCCGATTTTAAATCGGAACGTTTAAACGAATTCGTATGAACGATCTTCCCCTTCCGACATTGAGAACTCCTATTCAACTGACCACCGAATGTTATTCCGGTCTGTGTTCTTTTTTCTTTTAAACGATCAGACCTTCTTAGTAGTGATGTATCAGTTGAATCTACTTGAGATGTTACTGAAGACATTGATTCATTATTGAATGCTGTTACACAATAACCGTGTTCAACCATGCGCCTGGTTGCTTGTCTACTGGTTTGTCCTATATATTGCGAAGGACAGTCATTACATGTAAACTGATAAACAATTCCAGACTGCATATTCTTCGGTGTGGGTGTGGGTGTGGTGGTGGATGTGAGTAGGCATGGGGTGGCTTTGCATGTGTGTGCTCTGAAAAAAAAATAAGGTGCCACACGAAACCATTCTTGCAACGAAAGCGAAACCTTTGTTGAGGTTTCGTAAAAATCCAAGATACGTCCAAAATGATCGTCCGAACTTTAGGAGTCTTTTTTAAAGATTTCAAAGGTTTCATACGAAACCCTAAAAAGGTTTCGTTTTCGTTGCAGAATTCGAAACCTTTTTAAAGTTGCGTACCATGTGCGAAACTCTTTTCAAGTTCTGTACCATGTTGAGGACTTTTTTTAAGTTTCGTACCGCACACGATACCATTTTTGGTTTCGTATGGTACTTTTTTTTGAGAGCGGTGGTGCCTATCAGTCAAGGGAAGAACCACAGCCATCCACACCCCACAAACCACATCCACCCACACCCACACCCACACCCACACCCTTGGCTCTTCACGTCAAATCACACCTCTAACTTGTCTAATCAGCATAGTCCTATGTTCTAAAAATGGGATATAACACTCACTAAAAATTACTAGGGATAAGATACTTCAATGCCACGAAGAAATAGTTCAAAGTAGAGAGTATTGATGCCAACAAAAAGTCATGTCAAGCTAATGAATGGTTTTGTAACTAACTTTTCCGAAAAATAATTTGTACCGTTTCACTACCCTGTGTGGATGCTTACTACAGGACACTATAGATTATAAACGGGCATATTATTACCAGCAGATAATCAAATTAGATTTATGAAAATATTGAAAGAAAGTGTGTGTGCAAAAAAATGTCTATCAAACACTATGATCACGAAATCTAGAAGTACCGTGTTTCGGCATGGGCAAAATCGATTTTTTTTGGAATTGGAACCGTATCGGAATCGGCTTCAACGATTTAGGAATCGTATCGGAATCGGCAAGGAAAACTCTTTTTCGGATCGGAATTGGAATCGGAGTTGCCGATTCCGATACCGGGATCGCCCATCCCGAATCAGACTGTTCGAAAATTCGTTGACGCAAAAGGTAATTATATATTTCTATTATGGTTCTATTGCATGAATTAGTGTTTGTATTCGTAGTAGAGGGCACTTTCAAGTTTTTGTTGATAAACATGGAATTCCCAAATACTGCTACAAAGAAGCACTGTTAAAGTCCTTTTTCGAGTCGAAAAAAAATAGTATGTAGGAATTTTTTTCTGAATTTGTACAATTTATTTCATTACTGTGAGCTTCTAGGAACCCAGGCCTGCTTTCTTGCTTTATGAGCATCTGTTACACATTTTTAAGAAACAAGAAACATTGATTTTAAGTCTAGTGTCCGTAAAAATTCGAAGCCACGTCTCTTAACTCAGCTTTCTTTTCATGAAAGTTTTTGATAAAGAACAAGCAAATTGTTTTGAAGAAATACATCATTTATTCTTGGTTTTTCAGACGTGATGAAGAAATGATTACAAGACGAAATGGGCATGGATATTAGAGGCTCAATGTAATGGAACGAAATTCAAGGAGCACAAGAAAAAGCCCTACATGCTACTTTTTGCAATCTGAAGCAAAAAGCTTTCAGCATATACTCTATAGGAGTGTTTGACAGCTTTGTAATTAGAAATAAAAACTTAATAGAATCTTGCACTTTTAGTAGACAAATTAATTTATCCAATAGAACCATAATAGAGATATGCAAGTTTCTTTCTGATAAATGAGTTTTCAGGCATCCCGTATGCATTCTTTGATTGCAAGGTATCTCTTCTTAAGAAAAAAGTCGTTTTTTTTAAATACTTTTTAAAGAAAATTTTGAACTATTAATTTTGTTCTTTGGCAGGAAATAAAGATAAATTATGTCTTTCATGAAAATATTTCCGATTCCAATATTTTTATAACTTGTAACTGGAACCGGATCCGGATCGGAACCGGATATTATTTTTTAAGAATCGTATCGGAATCGGCACGGATAATTTTTTTTCGAATCGGAATCGCCCATCCCTATTCGCAAGACCCAGCTTCGATTGGATCGACATCTTCACATTATGAACCTATCTCCTTTTTTACTATAAGAGCCAAAATAAATTTTTTTATAGCATTCGAACCATAAGATCGATAAGAAAAAAGTTACGTATGCTTTTAATTGAGCTCGTTAGCATTGTTGAGAAAATTCACTTTTTCCATTTGAATGACTCAATGGCTAAAAATTGAGGGCGTACTTCAAAGTTTTTTGCTTAAACGCCTTACTTTTCGATCGGTTGGGTACGATATTCTGAATGAGCATAAACAACTGCGTCAAATAGCCTATATTTCTTCAAAAAAGATTTACCATAAAAATCTAACCTGTTCCCCTCCTCAGCTTTGTTTTACTCAATTTTGTCTTGAGGGCGAGTACAGGTCAAATTTTGATGACAAATTTTTTTTGACAAAATATAGGTTATTTGACGCAGTTGTTTATGCTCATTCCGAATATCGTACCCAACCGATCAAAAAGTAAGGCGTTTAAGAAAAAAACTTTGAAGTACACCTCAATTTTCAGCCATTTAGTCATTCAGATGGAAAAAGTGAATTTTCTCAACAATGCTAACGAGTTCAATTAAGAGCATACGTAACTTTGTTCTTATCGATCTTATGGTTCGAATGCTATAAAAAAATTTATTTTGGCTCTTATAGTAAAAAAGGAGATAGGTTCATAATGTGAAGATGTCGATCCAATCGAAGGTGGATCTTGCGAAACCAGCCAAATGTCACAGGATTGATCAAATTTTATCAAACTGATCTAAATACCACTGTTTTATATGTTCGATCTAAATAAGATAGTTTTATTGGAAAAAGTCTAATCTAAGATACATTAATTTTGAAATTTATAATGAGAAAGCTATTTTTTTGCTTTCTCTGAAATTTTTTGTATTTTGCAATTTTCTTGGCGCAGGTGAGGTCTAAGATCTTAAAAACTACATATTCTGAACCAGCGCTGACAACTCTATCGACTGATATACAATTTAGCTAGATTTGTTTTCTGCTCGGCTTTTGCATTACGCGCACCTTATAAAACAGGAGTACCAAATGTTATTTATAGAGTTTCTTTAATAACCATATACCAACATAAAACAACATTTCTCTTTAAGTATCACTAGATAAGTTTGAGTAACGTTAGACATGCACAATTGATGTGAAATTCAATAGAAGATGGCATGTAAAAGAGTTCCGTAATTTAACATATCTACTTTTTGACAGTAAGGATTCTACTGCAAAACTGACTTGCGTTTCGGTTATAGAAAATCAATGAAACAAATTTAATGTTTCTTTATATCAACAAATAATAGATAAAATATGAAAGCGATTATAATCAGTAATCGATCAATATAGTAATCAAACTAATTACGATAATCGAACGTTAACTCGAATATGTTCTCGTTTCGATCAAATATAAACTCTTCTATTGTTGTTTTGCTATGAACAAAAATTTTTATTCGTCTTCTGACTCTACAGAAAAATGATAATCATGGGTGAAATGTTTATGCTTAATCAATAACAAAAAGTTTCAAAATTGTTGACGAACGCTTGCTAGTAAAGATTCAAATTGTTTAGTGTCTTGACTGAATAAATGAAGAAGACGTTTGCGAGCTTTTTGTACTACACCATGCCACATTGCTGACAATGCCAC